ATCAGAGCCAGGCAGCTAAGCGCCTGTCAGAAATCTCTGCAGCTGCGGGGAAGAGACGGACCGACGGGCCAGCGAGCGGCAAGGAGAGCAAAAAGGGCGCTGCTCCGTTCCTCTGCCATGGCACTCGCCCTTCTTTGGGCCCTTTGCTGCCAGAGGCCAGTGACCATGTTGCAAAGGGGCAAGGCTGGGGTTTGGTGATGTTCAGGACACCTGTGGAAGCGCTTGTATATAGGCGACACATGTCGCAGTGGGGTTTCCTTCTCTGGCTGGATGGCCATCAGTTGGGAGAGCTTTGACTGTGTCTTGGTTGAATAAGATTGGACAAGGTGGCTCTCCCAATTCTATGAGAATGCCATGAGGGGAAGGAGCTACACAGGCAGATATAAACATATGTGTGCCTTAGGGACCCAGGCTTTGTTTTTAAAATGCCTGGGGCTTCCTTCCATGCGCACCCAGAACAGGATGCTTCTAGCAACATAGAATCATAGAATCATAAAATCACAGGATCATAGGGTTGGAAGATACCTGGTGGGCAATCCAGTCCAACCCCATTCTGTCAAAAAACAGGAAAATTGCATTCAAAGCACCCCTGACTGATCATAGAATCAAAGAGTTGGAAGAGACCTCATGGGCCATCCAGTCCAACCCCCTGCCAAGAAGCAGGAATATTGCATTCAAATCACCCCTGACCGATGGCCATCCAGCCTCTGTTTAAAAGCTTCCAAAGAAGAAGCCTCTACTACCCTCCAGGGCAGAGAGATCCACTGCTGAACGGCTCTCACAGTCAGGAAGTTCTTCCTCATGTTCAGATGGAATCTCCTTCCTTGTAGTTTGAAGCCATTGTTTCGCGTCCTAGTCTCCAGGGAAGCAGAAAACAAGCTTGCTCCCTCCTCCCTGGGGCTTCCTCTCACATATTTATACATGGCCATCATATCTCCTCTCAGCCTTCACTTCTTCAGGCTAAACATGCCCAGCTCCTTAAGCCGCTCCTCATAGGGCTTGTTCTCCAGACCCTTGATCATTTTAGTTGCCCTCCTCTGGACAACTAAATGGCCATCCAGCCTCTGCTTTAAAGCCTCCCAAAGAAGGAGCCTCCACCACACTCTGGGGCAGAGAGAGAGAGAGTTCCACTGCTGAACAGCTCTCACAGTCAGGAAGTTTTTCCTCATCTTCAGGTGGAATCTCCTTTCTTTTCTGTAGTTTGAAGCCATTGCTCCATTGCGTCCTAGTCTCCAAGGCAACAGAAAACAAGCCTGCTCCCTCTTCCCTAGGACTTCCCCTTACCTCTTGATCCTTGGACCTCATCAACAACCTACTGAAGGCATTCCCATGGCCAGCACCAGAGTTAGGGGGTCTTGCAGCCTAGTTGTCTACTGGGAATTAGAGAGATGCCTCTGATGTTTAGAGCTGGCCCTGTTGCCCATAGATGCCATTTTGACACCAGCCCCTCTGCTCCCCCTCCTTCCTTCCTCTCTCTTCCTCTGCCTCTCTCCCCCTTTTCTCTCCCACTCGCACGCAGCTCGTCCTTCTGCCGGGATCTGGCTCTGCGGGCTCCTCTTCTGCTCCTCTGCTCGCATTAGCGTCACTTTGGACCTGCTGCTCTACACAGAAGGCTCGCTTTTCCCAGACTTTGCCCTTCACTGGAGATAACAATGGAGGGGTGCGTCCATGCCTCCGCCGGCTTAAGTGCTCCAATTACAGCTTGTCTCCTGCGCCCATCAGCGCTCAAGGTGGACGTGTGTCCTTCTGTGCCAGCAGAAGCACCTTCTCTGCACACTGTGAGAATTACAGGGGTGTTTGAGCTGCTGTATCTTTCCTGAGCAGCAAAGCCAAGTCCAGCTTGCTGTGCCTTGGGCTACTGGGCCCAGTCTGCCTCTAGCCAACCCTGAGGGCTCCCACAGGACAAGAGGCAACAAGACTCCTCCATGGGCTTGTCATTCCTCTAACAGTATTAAGGAGGGGTGTAATTCTTGAATTTAAATCCCTCTCTGTGGCTACTTTGCCCATAGGATAGGGTCTGTGTCTGGGCTTCTTTGATGGGGAAGGGGCAAACGGTCTCCACCTCTGGGCAAACTCAGAAGGAACAAGCCTCTGTCTTCTGCCTGCATTCCCTATAGGGCAGCGACCTGCCTCAAAGGAGCATGTGTTCCATCAATTTGCACAAATGATCAGCTACTGTCAAAAGAGATAGAGTTTCATCTATGCTGATGATCGTGCCATCACTGCCCAAGCAAGGAGCTTTGAAATGGTTGAACAGAAGCTCTCTGAAGCTTTAGATGCTCTTACTGCCTACTACAGGGAAATCCAGCTGATTCCTAATCCATCTAAAACACAGACATGTGCTTTTCACCATCTCGAGCTTTGAGGATTCCCTGGGAAGGAATCCCACTGGAGCATTGCAGCACACCCAAATATCTGGGAGTTACCCTGACTTACAAGAAGCACTGCTTGAATATCAAGCAAAAAGTGGGCGCTAGAAATATCATCATACGAAAGCAGCCTGGCACAACCTGGGGATCACAACCAGATACAGTGAAGACATCTGCCCTTGCACTTTGCTACTCTACTGCTGAGTATGCATGCCCAGTGTGGAACACATCTCACCACATTAAAGCAGTGGATGTGGCTCTTAATGAGACATGCCACATTGTCACAGGATGTCTACGCCCAACACAGTTGAAGAAATTATATTGTTTAGCTGGTATTGCACCACCTGACATCCGTCAGGAAGTAGCAGCCTGTAATGAAAGGACCAATGATCTCTGATATTGTTGTTTTTAAATTGTTTTTAAATTGTTTTAGATTGTTTTTAAATTGCGTTAGATTTTAGCCTGTTCTTGTAAGCCGCTCGGAGCCCCAGGGGAGTGGCGGCATATAAGTTTGAATAATAAATAAATAAATAAATCTCTGGTCCATCCTCTGTTCGGATATCAGCCAGCATTCCAATGTCCTAAATCAAGAAACAGCTTCCTAAGAGCTATGGAGATACTCACAGAAACACCTCAGCAAGCAAGAGTCCAAAAGTGAAAACCCAGCCCCTCAATCTGTGACTGAGTCCAGATGAGAAACTCCCTTCTGGGCACACAGAAGACTGGACGACTTGGAAGTCACTGAACAGACTGTGCTTGGGCATCACAAGATGCACAGCCAATTTTCAGAAATGGGGCTACAAAGTGGAGACCATGACATGCGAGTGTGGAAAAAAGCAAACCACAGGCTATCTATTACAATGCAGACTGAGCTCTGCCACATGCACAATAGAGGACTTTCTTATGGCGACACCAGAGGCACTCCAAGTGGCCAGCTATTGGTCGAAGGACATTTGGCATAATGCCAAGTTTTTATTTATTATTATTATTATTATTATTATTATTATTATTAAACTTTATTTGTACCGCTAGCATCTCCCGAAGGACTCGATGCGGCTTACAAAGGCCAAGGCCTCAACACACAACAGCAAAACAATAACAATACAATTCAAAGCAAATTAAAAACATAAGCAATAACAAACATTACACCATTAACGCAATAAAAACCAGGGCCGGGCCAGTGATGGGTACAGGTTAAAAAGTGCTGGGTGTGGCTGGTGGTATGTTGGATTTCTGGGCAAGTGCAATGTGCAGAGAGTCTTAAACTCTAATAAAGTGCTTTTGGGACTTAGAGCTGGGGGTTATCCTACTCCGGAAAGGCACATCGGAATAGCCAGGTCTTCAAGTTCTTCCTAAAGAATGCCAACGTGGGTGCTAGTCTAATGTCTTTGGTGAGGGTGTTCCAGAGTCAAGGGGCAACCACAGAGAAGGCCCTGTCCCTCGCCCCCACCAAACGCGCCTGCGATGCAGGTGGGATCGCGAGTAGGGCCTCTCCGGATGAACGAAGGGAACGCGTGGGTTCATAAACGGAGATGCGGTCACGCAGGTAGGCAGGTCCCAAACCGTTTAGGGCTTTGTAGGTAAGCACCTGCACCTGAATTGGGTTCGGTAGGTAAACGGCAGCCAATGGAGCTCCTTAAACAGGAGGGTTGACCTCTCTCTGTAAGGAGCCCCAGTTAACATCCTGGCCGCTGTCCGTTGGACCAGTTGGAATTTCCGAGCCGTTTTCAAGGGCAGCCCCACGTAGAGCGCATTACAGTAATCCAATCTAGAGGTGACCAAGGCATGGACCACCCCGGCCAAATCAACCTTTGCGAGGTACGGTCACAGCTGGCGCACAAGTCTTAGTTTTTAACGTTGTTTGTGGTTTTTCTATACATTATAACTGTATTCTCAATTCACTTCTGACACTTTAAATAAATAGCAGCAGGAGCAACAACAACAAACAAAGGAGGAGGGGATGAGCAGCCTTTGCATTCCAGGACTGGCATGTAAAACATCCAAGGGAAGCACATGCTTCGGAACCTCTGGCAGCAGATCAGAGCTTCTCTCCATCTCTTTGAGCCTAGCATAAAAACGGCCAATATCTGAGGGAACGGAGATGAGAAAGGCAATGAGCTGAGTGTGTTTGGCCATTGAGGGACCCCATCCTACCCTTCCTCCATCGACCCTGTCTCTGAGGCCACAAAGAAAGGCCTTCTTGGGCAGCAGTTGATTCGGCTGTGAGAGACAGAGAAAGCCATCCTGTCAAGGCAGAGCCAGGGAGCCAAACGTGGCCAGACAAGCCTGGCACTAATGATGGCTCCCCTTCCTTTGAGCATCGCTTACAATCTGGGACTCTCTGATCTCCTCAGACATGTGCCCCTCTCTCCAGTCCCTGCTGCCCATCACAAGCCCACGCTACTGCCTCCCTCCCATTCAAGTCAAGCTTGATTCGATGCTTAGGCCATAGGTCTTTCACAGAGAAGGCAAACAATAAATACATGGAAACCAGATTATTAAATCTATACACATAATAAAAGTGAAAATATGTATGTGTGTGTGTGGCTGGGATGCCCACTTACACAGACAAGTTCCTGCCTCTACAAACAGCTATAACTTCCACAGCAGAGGAGACATCAATGGCCCTCCGTCTGCTTCTGCTTCTAGGGAAAAAAGTTTATTGAAAATTAAAAGGGGAAAAATATGTAAAAATAAAATCTTCTTATTGACTTCCAAATCCTTTTCCTTGCAGACGACACCAAATTTGCAGACGACACCAAATTGGGAGGGAGAGCCAATACTCCAGAGGACAGGAGCAGAATTCAAAACGATCTTGACAGATTAGAGAGATGATTGGTCAAAACTAACAAAATGAAGTTCAACAGGGACAAATGCAAGGTACTCCACTTAGGCAGGAAAAACGTAATGCAAAGATACAGAATGGGGGACACATGGCCCGAGAGCAGTACATGTGAAAAAGATCTTGGAGTCCTCGTGGACAACAAGTTAAACATGAGCCAACAATGTGATGTCGCGGCAAAAAAAGCCAATGGGATTTTGGCCTGCATAAATAGAAGTCTAGTGTCCAGACTTTGTATTTCTAGGTGCAAAGATTGCTGCAGATGCAGACTGTGGCCAGGAAATCAGAAGACGCTTACTTCTTGGGAGGAGAGCAATGTCCAATCTCGATAAAATAGTAAAGAGTAGAGACATCAGACTGGCAACAAAGATCCGCCTAGTCAAAGCCATGGTATTCCCTGGAGTCACCTACGGATGTGAGAGCTGGACCTTAGGGAAGGCTGAGCGAAGGAAGATCGATGCTTTTGAGCTGTGGTGTTGGAGGAAAGTTCTGAGAGTGCCTTGGACTGCGAGAAGATCCAACCAGTCCATCCTCCAGGAAATAAAGCCCGACTGCTCACTGGAGGGAAAGATACTAGATACAAAGTTGAAGTACTTTGGCCACATCATGAGGAGACAGGAAAGCCTAGAGAAGACAATTATGCTGGGGAAAATGGAAGGCAAAAGGAAGAGGGGCCGACCAAGGGCAAGATGGATGGATGGCATCCTTGAAGTGACTGGACTGACCTTGAGGGAGCTGGGGGTGGTAACGGCCGACAGGGAGCTCTGGCGTGGGCTGGTCCATGAGGTCACGAAGAGTCGGAGACGACTGAACGAATGAACAACAACAACAAGTGTCCAGGGAAGCAATGCTACCCCTCTATTCTGCTTTGGTTAGACCACACCTGGAATATTGTGTCCAATTCTGGGCACCACAATTCAAGAGAGATATTGACAAGCTGGAATATGTCCAGAGGAGGGCGACTAAAATGATCAAGGGTCTGGAGAACAAGCCCTATGAGGAGCGGCTTAAGGAGCTGGGCATGTTTAGCCTGAAGAAGAGAAGGCTGAGAGGAGACATGATAGCCATGTATAAATATGTGAGAGGAAGCCACAGGGAGGAGGGAGCAAGCTTGTTTTCTGCTTCCCTGGAGACTAGGACGCAATGGAACAATGGCTTCAAACTACAAGAGAGGAGATTCCATCTGAACATGAGGAAGAACTTCCTGACTGTGATAGCCGTTCAGCAGTGGAACTCTCTGCCCCGGAGTGTGGTGGAGGCTCCTTCTTTGGAAGCTTTTAAACAGAGGCTGGATGGCCATCTGTCAGGGGTGATTTGAATGCAATTTCCTGCTTCTTGGCAGGGGGTTGGACTGGATGGTCCATGAGGTCTCTTCCAACTCTATGATTCTATGATTCTGTGATTCTATCCCTTGGCAATGTTGTGTCCTCTGAGAGGCATAAAGCTAACACCACTTAATTTAAGCCCGACCAAGTACCCATGAGATCACGCCGAATGCACCTGGGCTTTAAGGTCTTTTCATGGATTCTCTCAGAACATCAAATTAGTCTATGTTTCACTCCCTCCATTCTCAAACCAAATCAGACTTCTCGGGAAAACTCCCCATTGGCCGAAGGCTGTTTCCCAAGAGAACTTGATTCGCTTGAACAATCACAGGAATGCACAACATCGGCCTCAACTACCTGAAATTCCTTCATCACTTTGAAACCCATTAAACCTCTTGTCCTCTGACATGTCAGAAAAATCCTCAGCCACTTGCTGAGCTACAACAATATGGCCCAAAAGGGGGCGATGCAACAGTGGCACCCAAGACTAAATCTCAAGTGACAGCTGGGTTGCATCTATACCCTTATCCAGTATAGAAAAGGTTGTGAGGTCTGTTGGAAACTTATCCAGGGACCCTCAAGGTAGAGCAGGGACCTCTTCAGACCCGTATCATGATCCCACACTGGCTTTCTCAACTTGAATCCTTCTCATCTTGCCCTACTTGCCTCTGGATGTACCACCAAGCAGCCAGTGTGGCATGGGGCACCATTCTGACTCTGAAAGCACCAAAACAGGTCTCCTCTTCCCTTGAAAAGGAGCAGGGCTTGGCTTATCTTTCGGGAGATAGATAGTCCTTTTGCCAGAATGTATCACAATACTTGTTTGAGGCTGGATCCCACGGAATCCACAGGTCTGTTATCCCTGGGACCAGTGCCATAATTTAGAAAGCGCTCATCAGTTCCAAGGACGACACTCCTTTGGCCTCACACTCCAGCGGCGCTTGGCTGTTCTCCAGTCTGGAGCTAAAGACAGCCACTTGTCCTCCTTGGGATTTCTGTGTGAAATTACTGTTATTATATACAGCATGATGATAGCCATTTTGATCCTCTTCTCCAGCCAAACAAGAAAGAGGGGGAGCTTTTAGAATGACTGAAGAGGGCCAATAATGGGAGTGGAGCAGGGGGGAGGGAATCGTGGCCTCACGGAGGGGCTGCCGGGGAGGAATGAGCGCTAGATCCACATCACAAGGCTCAGGGAGATGCTCTTATTCTATTCAGAAGAAGGACTGAGCTTAAACTATCTTGGTTTTTTGAAGGCAAAGGGAAGCAACATCTCCACCCAGAAATAGAAGTATCTAGCTCAGGGGTCCTCAAACTTTTTAAACAGAGGGCCAGGTCACAGTCCCTCAAACTGTTGGAGGGCCAGACTATAGTTTGGAAAAAAAAACATGAATGAATTTCTATACACACTGCACATATCTTATTTGTAGTGCAAAGAACACTTTAAAAATACAATAATTAAAATGAAGAACAATTTAAACAAATATAAACATATTAGTATTTCAGTGGGAAGTGTGGGCCTGCTTTTGGCTGATGAGATAGGATTGTTGTTGTTGTTGTGTGCTTTCAAGTCCTTGCAGACTTAGGTTGACCTTGAGCGAGGGCCAGGTAAATTACCTTGGAGGGCCGTATCCAGCCCCGGGGCCTTAGTTTGGGGACCCCTCATCTAGCTTCACTTTCAACTTCGAAATCAGATCCAAAAGAGACATTCTGCCCCTGTCTGGTTCTGGCATTGACCGTTGAAAGGGATCTAGATCATTCATTTCATCCAGGGACCCGGGAGTCGGGAACCTTCCCCAACACAGGGATATTGGAGAGTGGCTGGTAAATGGGTTTCAAAGCCTGGTTGATTCCTGCCTGGGGGAATCCTCTGTTGGGAGGTGTTAGCTGGCTCTGATTGTTTCATTATTTATTTATTTAATTTCTACCCCGCCCTTCTCCCCACAAAGAGGACTCAGGGCGGCCTCACATAAGCATCAATGATGCTATCAATATCTATATAAATAAAAAAAATGTAATGTTCATTTGTAGGATTAACATAACTCAAAAACCCCTGGACGAATTGACACCAAATTTGGACACAAGACACCTAACAATCCAATGTATGTCCTTCGCTCAAAAAAAATGATTTTGTCATTTGGGAGTTGTAGTTGCTGGGATTTATAGTTCACCTACAATCAAAGAACATTCTGCACCACACTAAGGATGGAATTGAACCAAACTTGGCACACAGTTCTCCCATGACCAACAGAAAATACTGGAAGGGTTTGGTGGGCAGTGTCCTTTGGTCTTGGAGTTGTAGTTCACCTACATTCAGAGATCACTGTGGACTCAAACAATGATGCATCTGGACCAAACTCTACACGAATACTCAATATGCCCAAATGTAAACACTGGTGGAATTTGGGGAAAATAGAATCTTGACTTTTGGGAGTTGTAGTTGCTGGGATTTATAGTTCACCTACAATCACAGAGTATTCTGAACCCCACCAACAATAGATTTGGGCCAAACCTCCCACACAGAATGTGGGCCACAGCAATGCGTGGCAGGGGACGGCTAATATCTATATAAATAAAAAAAATCAATGTTCGTTTGTGGGATTAACATAATTCAAAAACCACTGGACGAATTGACACCAAATTTGGACACAATACACCTCTCAGGCCAACGAGTGACCATCACTCATAAAAATACTGAAAAACACAGCAGAAGAGACTTTAAAAGCCAAAACCCCCAAAAAATGCATTACAACACACGTGCAAAAAGGCGTGTATACACAAACACCCATATATACACACATACACAAATATATACACACAAAAAACACATATACACAGACTGGCCCACCGCAACATATGGCAGGTGATGGCTAGTATACAATTAAAATTTCAATTAAAACCATAAAACTCAATTTAAAACATTATCCAATACATTAACAAATTCATTAACAATGCATTAACAAATTCATCTTAGGAATTCCTTTGTTTCTAAGTGTTCCTCTTTCAAAATCTGGCTTCCAGTATTTAAAAAAACCCTCTAAAACTGGGACAGTAAATAAATAACAACACTAAAGAAAACAGGGGAATTCCAGACAGGAAACAATCAGGGCCAACTAATACCTCCCAACAAAGGATTCCCCCAGGCAGAAAGCAGCCAAGCTTTGAAGCTGCAAGGCCATCCAGTGCTAATCAAGGTGGCCAATTGCAACATTTACACTTGCCTCAAGCAGACAAGAGTTCTTTCTCCCAACCTAGACATCAATCCACAGGTATATACAACCCACTACCTAATTTCCAAAAGACCTCTATGCAGATACCCTCACTGATTGACTTTGCAGCTTCTAGGCCATTCAATGCTAATCAAGGTGGCCAATGGTAGCATTCACACTTGTCTCCAACAGACAAGAGTTCTTTCTCCCACCTTGGACATTCCACACAGATATATAAACCTCACTTGCCTAGTTTCCAAGAG